AGTTTGCAAAGTTTCACATTAAGTGTTTTCTTCCCATATAAGGAGGAGCAACGTGTGCATACAAGATGTGAAAGGAGCGGTGTATCTACACACACAGATATGTCTACTCTTTGATGAAGCGGAAGCAATGTACTAAGCATAAAGGAGAGAAAATGAACCTGAAGTATTGATCTCATCCGGCTGGTATATGATCTGATACCAATACAAACGTTGGTATCGATACTAACGATATTAGGATCGATCCACCCACCCCTAGTACATCAGTGATTCACACTACTATAACAGCCCTAGGGTCCCAAGTGAGGGCTCACATCTCACATAAAACAGGACTAAATAAATGCCAACTAGAAATGATGAAATTGCTAATAAAGAGTGTACATTAAGAAGGGATTGCTCTGCTATTTTGGAAACTTAAAAGGCGATGCTTAGCCGCACTAAAACAATGAAATAACCACAGAATGCTTCAGTCAAAGGAAGGAATTTATGCTCTTGTTTGAGTGAGAATGATCCAGAAGCATTTCAAATACTTCTGGGAATCTGGTGCTCACTTTACAAATTCACTGGGAATAATAACTTTGTTAAAGGGTTAGTTCACCCCAAAATTTAAATACTGCCATTAATTACTCACCCTCATATCGTTCCAAACCCATAAGACCTTCTTACTTATTCAGAACACAAATTAAGATTTTTTTGATGAAATACGAGAGCTTTCTGACCCTGCATAGACAGCAACACAACTGAAACGTTTAGTTATGGCCCAGAAAGGTAGTAAGGACATCGTTAAAATAGTCCATGTGACATCAGTGCTTCAACCGTAATGTTATTAAGCTGTGAGAATACTTTTTGTGTGCAAAGAAAACAAAAATAACAATTTTATTCAACAATTTCTACAAAAAGTATTCTCGTAGCTTCATAAAATTACGGTTGAAGCACTGATGTCACATGGACTATTTTAACGATGTCCTTCCTTACTACCTTTCTGGGCCATAACTAAACATTTCAGTTGTGTTGCTGTCTATGCAGGGTCAGAAAGCTCTCGTATTTCATCAAAAAAATCTTAATTTGTGTTCTGAATAAGTAAGAAGGTCTTATGGGTTTGGAACGATATGAGGGTGAGTAATTAATGGCAGTATTTAAATTTTGGGGTGAACTAACCCTTTAACAAAGTTATTATTCCCAGTGAATTTGTAAAGTGAGCACCAGATTCCCAGAAGTATTTGAAATGCTTCTGGATCATTCTCACTCAAACAAGAGCATAAATTCCTTCCTTTGACTGAAGCATTCTGTGGTTATTTCATTGTTTTAGTGCGGCTAAGCATCGCCTTTTAAGTTTCCAAAATAGCAGAGCAATCCCTTCTTAATGTACACTCTTTATTAGCAATTTCATCATTTCTAGTTGGCATTTATTTAGTCCTGTTTTATGTGAGATGTGAGCCCTCACTTGGGACCCTAGGGCTGTTATAGTAGTGTGAATCACTGATGTACTAGGGGTGGGTGGATCGATCCTAATATCGTTAGTATCGATACCAACGTTTGTATTGGTATCAGATCATATACCAGCCGGATGAGATCAATACTTCAGGTTAATTTTCTCTCCTTTATGCTTAGTACATTGCTTCCGCTTCATCAAAGAGTAGACATATCTGTGTGTGTAGATACACCGCTCCTTTCACATCTTGTAAGCACACGTTGCTCCTCCTTATATGGGAAGAAAACACTTAATGTGAAACTTTGCAAACTGCCTTCATATTCTGGGTTTTTCTGCTTGTCTGTAAATAGTATTTTCACATTAAGCGTTTTAGAATGTCCCATTGAGACAGAAGTCACTAGTCATTCTCACTATTAACTAGTTGCTTATTAGCATGCCTATTATTAACATATTGGCTGTTTATTAGTACTTATAAAACATTTATTCTACATGACCATATTTGTACATCCCTAATCCTACACAATGCCTAAACTTAACAACTACCTTACAAACTATTAATAAGTAACAAATTAGGAGTTTATTGAGGCAAACATCCTAGTTAATGGTTTGTTAATAGCGAGAATCTCTCCATTGACTTTCTATTGCGGGAAGCTGCCTCCTTGTCATTTCTGACTTATAACAAAAAACAGAGCAATGCCTAAAAGCTGCTATGTTACAAGCTGTACAGTAAACTAGCTAAAAAACCCAGAACTACGTTTTTATAAGCTGTCGACCCAATAAAACGAGCGTTTAGGACACAAAAGTAGAGCGCAACGTGTCATATTACTCTGAGAACTGCACCCACTGGTGGGAAATGTAATCGGCGACAAAACCATTAATTATTTTTAACCATGTCAAAGGATTATTTCACCACCCTATGTGAATCTGAGAGGAGGAGATATATTAAGAAACTAAATTTTATTGGTCTATGTCAGTGCCCCTTTTTTCTTAACCTTCCATTTGTTTATTAAATGATCCAACTGAACGGCCTAAACTGTCCTCGTTTTTTGGGGGGTCGACAGCTTATAAAAACGTAGTTCTGGGTTTTATAGCTTGTTTACTGTACACCTTGTCACATAGCAGCTTTTAGGCATTGCTCTGTTTTTTGTTATAAGTCAGAAATGACAAGGAGGCAGCTTCCAGCAATAGAAAGTCAATGGAGAGCGTTGGATTGTTTTCCCCCCGGTGTGGGTGTGGGCGTGGCCTAATGCGCTCTCTCTCCATACCAAAATTTGCAGTATCACCCACCCCTATGATGTACCAGGACTGAGTGGGAAGAGCAGGGCACACACACTTGCTCCATTATCTATCTACAGACTTTTGGAGTTTAGTTAGTGATACTAAGAAATGAAGTAGCAGTAATGCAGTCATGGGTTAAAATGTCACGTAAGAGGAGAGAGGTCATGCAGGGAGCAATATTATCAATTGACTATTGACTAAAAACTGCCTTTTAGTTATTATGCTTTATTATATGATTATATAAGGATTTTTATGTGATTTTCTTTGGGTGAAATTACACTTATAAAATCTCAACATTTTATCAGCTTGGCTCAGCTTGGTTCCTTGGTGACACTTCCACTTTGAGAAATCTCTGGAAAACATTCAGCTCCAGAACTCTGTGAAGGTGGTATCGCCAGTTCCATTCTGATTGGCTGGCTGCTACACAAATTCAGGAAGTCAAAACTTCTGGGTTCTCAGGTTCTCATTAGTCAGTACCAGGCTGCTGCAATGAGTGTTAACAAGGGTGAACTAGTCTCTAGATTTGGCAAATTCTGTTAAGTTCATGGAACTGAATATTTCAGAGTTAAGAGAATCATCACAATCTTTCTCCTTCAGCACAAAGATCATCTTCTCGCTGGACTCCAAAGGAAGAAGAACAAAGAAGCCTGTGTAACCCCTCTCTCCTGGGTCCTCACCGCCACACCTCGTTCTTGTTCCGAGTGGGTCTCGAGCCCGGGTCTCCGGCATGGGAGGCGGACGCACTAACAAGGAGGCTAAAGACTGCAGCCTCTAGCGTCAGTCGCTAGTGCGTCTCTTGAGATCAGGTGAGTTAGGTTTACCTTGCACAGTACCTACTCGCTGGCCTCCGTTACACTCACCCCCCTAAACCTCACTCCCATCCGGGTCACGGCACCAATGTAACCCCTCTCTCCTGGGTCCTCACCGCCACACCTCGTTCTTGTTCTGAGTGGGTCTCGAGCCCGGGTCTCCGGCATGGGAGGCGGACACACTAACAAGGAGGCTAAAGACGGCAGCCTCTAGCGTCAGTCGCTAGTGTGTCTTTTGAGATCAGGGGAGTGAGGTTTACCTGCACAGCACCTACTCGCTGGCCTCCGTTACACCTGCTACTCTTTCTCAGCACTTCTCCCCTGCGGACATCCGGCGACTTCAAAGAGCAAATTCTCTGCTAATTGAGCAATTTCCAATTGGCATTTGACTTCTCAAACTTCTCAATGCCATGGATAAGTCAGGCCCAGACCCTGCTGCTTTCAAGGAGCTGCGCAACTTGACTGACCTGGCCCTGCATGCTAAGAAGATGACTGCCCAACCGATTAGCAGGGTGATGGCCAGCCTGGTGGTGCTCAAGCACCACCTCTGATTAAACTTCACCAAGATCAAGGGCGCACAAGGCACAGCCTGCTCAACAACCTGCAAAGCCTACTCCATCGCCCCCGCTCAGCCTCAGTCCAAGGCAGAGCCTGAGCTCTGACAGCGCCCTCAGACTGCCAAGTGCTGTGATGAGATGGGTTCTGCAGACTATAGAACGAATTTAGAAATGGTACTCAGCTCCGACACATGTGACCCTGGACCACAAAACCAGTCTTAAGTCGCTGGGGGATATTTGTAGCAATAGCCAAAAATACATTGTATGGATCAAAATGATAGATTTTTCTTTTATGCCACAATTCTTTAGGATATTAAGTAAAGATCCTGTTCCATGGAGATATTTAGTAAATTTCTTCCGTAAATATATAAAAACTTAATTTTTGATTAGTAATATGCATTGCTAAGTAAGAACTTCATTTGGACAACTTCGCTCTTAAAAATGCTGGGTTAAATATAACCCAGTGCTGGGTTATGAGGGTGCAAAAAAAATCGCCTTTTCACTCTAAAAAATGCTGGGTTAAAAAGGGACAAACCCAGCTATTGGATTGTTTTGAGCCAGCGGTTGGGTTGTTTTGACCCAACCACTGGGTCAAAACAACCCAATAGCTGGGTTTGTCCCTTTTTAACCCAGCATTTTTTAGAGTGAAAAGGCGATTTTTTTTGCACCCTCAGATTCCAGATATTCAAATAGTTGTATCTCAGCCAAATATTGTCCTATACTAACAAAGCTTATTTATTCAGCTTTCAGACGATGTATAAATCTCAGTTTTGAAAAATGGACACTTAAGACACTTATGACACTTTTGTGGTCCAGGGTCACATATATGTTCAGTCGGGCCTGCCCGTTTTGGCAAGCTGAAATGCCATTTGTTCGTGCAGCTACACGAATGTTAACAAATCAGGCTTCAGTATTCAGAGAAAACTGAGTTTCCACTAGGCAGTGTTCATTTCCGTTATCTCGGGGAACCAAGGTTATGTTATTAACCAAGGCGTTTTCTGTGTAAACATGCTAGACGGACATGTTTAATGGTTGCAGCAACTCACGCATGACACTGCATTCTAAAAACGCATCTCTAGACTTCACTGCCATGCACCTCACAAAACCGTGTTCTATGGAGGGACCATTCACACAAAAAAACACATTTTTGTATTCCACTGTGCTGCTAACACTACTGTTCAATAGTTGTTGTTTTTTTAATGTGCTTCCACACTTGGAGGCTTTTTTTCATTCACTGCCCTGCCTCTCATTTTTAAATAAAAAAAATGCGTTTGGTGTGAATGGCCTCTAGGCAGTTTTTGGTTGAATAATGTGCTACAAGTTGCTGCAGGTTTCTCCCATAAGAATACCTGACCTTAACATCTTCATAAAAACAGTACTCATTACCCAAACCAAATATAATATAATGCCTAAAACTACTTTGTTACCCTACATTTAATTATGGTTCAAAATAAAATATGCTGTACTCTGTTAATCTGTGCTAAGTACCCCACAATTTCAGTTTCATTGTGACAAGCCTTACATGTGTATGTGTTCTTGGCTGTTACTGCCACCAACCCCATTATTCATAGGCATTCATATCTGCACTGAAACTGTTCAGCTGTGTGCGTGGGCTGCAAACTGGGAGGTTTACGTCTCTAATGCTTTTAATTCAGCACCTGTGGGACCTGGCGGAAGCTTCCAGCATCCTTCTGCCTCCCGCTAATCCTTTGCTAATTGTTGCTTTATTCAAATAAATGAGTACACTAACGTCTTCGCTAATGATGATTTAGGGAGGTGCCTGAAACAGATGGACTGTGGACTGTACTGCTGTAGAACTGCAGTGAAAGATCGCTTTTGTCAGTTCTCATTTATGTATCCGTATGGTAACGAGACAGGTGGCAGTCTGTACGTCATAGCAAGTGCACAAATGCATGATTCATGCTGAGAATACTTGCAGTGGAGAGTAGAACTGATTTCCCTTCATGAACTAATGGAATTATGGGATGTCTACAGTTGGTAAAGGTCTCCAGATCTGTCCCTGTGCATTGGTCATCGTGCAAGGATCAAATAATGATACCCCAGTGAATCACTGGGCTTATATAGTTTGAACCACAAAAGCAGAGTTTAGAGTTTATATTTTTAAGGATGTGGATACAACATGATGAATGAGATGACTTTATCCAAGAATTTAAGAAGTCTAACATGACCTAACCTGACCAGTCCTTTATTCTTCTTAAAATATAATGAGCTCTGACCTTTTAAAAAAGTGGACACAAGGATTGCTGACACATTGGAAACATTACATTTGAAGCTATATTTGGGGTCATCTGTCATTTTCCACATACAGATCCAATGACCTATGCTCAGAGTCGGATGAGTGTGCACGTTTAATGAATACAGGTCTTGTTTTTTAGTTTGGACTTGTCCCATCAGTAAATTGTTTATAATTTTTTTAAAAGATCAATTTTGTTCATTGATTTGCTCTGGACATAAGACTTTATGACTTTATTGCATCTCTTAAGTCATATTTATTTGCTTGAATGCCAAATGTCTCATAAATTAAATTTAGGTAAAATTGATCTTTAGATGGCTTTCTCAAAAAAATTCTCAAATGTTTTTGATTAATCGTTTGCCTTTAATTTTGATATATATTTCTTTTATTCAGTAATACCTAAAGCTGAATGACAGCATGTTCATTTGATGACAAAATTTGTAATAATCTAAATATATTTTATATATTAAATTGATTTGTAATACTTGGTAGGACTGTGAAATTTCAATTCATTCAAATTATTTGAATTTTGTTTTAATTATGTTATAGCTACTATGCTTATATTAATATTTGAGTGCGACAACAAATACCATAAGATTTTTGTTTTCAGTTTTTCTATTTGTTTTTAATTCAAGAGTTTATTTCAGCATGAAATAGCTGGCCATTGCACATTCTGGAGGGTCACATCGAGGGTTAAGAGCAAGACAAGATTGTCTTTGTGTTTGAAAATGTGAAAATGAAACGGTGAAAATGTCCACAGTAATGTTGAATCATTTATATACATGCAGCAGATGATGGTGCGAAGTAGCTTAAATTCATGCCTTGTACTGTTTTGATACACATAAGAAATGTGAAATGAAACAAAAACCATATAACTGCTTCAACATGAGTTAGAACTATGTCAAACTCGACCTTCTCACAGAGAAGAGATAACTACAGTCCACAGATGTCTAAAAAAAACACTACAATAAATTAAAACAACAAGACAGTGTTCACATTTTAACATCACAAGTATGTACAGACGAACTCAACAGTTCTTCCTTGACAACCACTGACTGATCAACACTGACATTTTCTTCAGGGGTTGGTTACAAGGATTTAAAAGTGCAAAACATATGACCTTAAAAGACATTCAACATCTTAATAGCTTTTACAATTTCACCTCCTCACTATACATTCTATCATCTACATATACTTTAAAAGAAACAAATATAAACACTATTAACGATGTGCTCTTACATTGTACGATGTGTTTTCAGTACCAATATATTTTGTGATGGTGTTACTGTTAGTAAACATGGATATGAAATTGCTTGGTTAATTCACAGGATATTGTACATATTATGGAAATTCCAAAGAATGTACACTTAGCTACATCTTACATAAGTTTGAAATAGTGGACAGTTGTTTATTCACCATTGGAAATTAAAAGTGTTCTGGTCACCTTAACATAACGAAAAGGAAATTTTAAACCACGAGTTCCAGCATAAGAAAAGCTAACAAGGCACTCTGGTTACTTGAACTTGTGACCTAATGGCGATCTCGCCAGAATGTCTGCAAAAAAGGGAACTTGAAGCAGGGCAGTAGATAATTGCTCACATGTACAACCCACAAGGTCGTCCATCAAATCTAATCAATATTCGGAATTTCAGAAGAGGAACAATAAAAAACCCCTCTGCCCGGGTCAATCAAATGAGTCAATTAGGGCCCAGTGGAATTATTTGTCTAATATGAAGGCCTTTTTTGCAGAAATTCACAAGAACCTAAAATAAATTAAAGACACATTTTTTTAGAGCTGTCATGTGCCTCGCTGTTTAGAATATGCAGTCAGCATAACCTGTTGCTTAACAAAACACATTCTTTTGTAATGCATTATGAGTTACTACCAGAAAATGAGGCCAGTTTGCCTCTCCATCCTCCTCTGCTCTTTCACCCTTTCCAGAACCCCATCATGCTTTTTTTTTTTGCATGCTTTGACCTAGATTTATCGCAACATTCTTTTTCCTACTTTAGTAAGCACTTTTTTCACTTTCTTGCACCAAGTTTAGTCCTTTGATTGGTCTTTCTCTTAAAACTTTTCTCTTCAGTCTCATGAGTTTTTAGGAATTCTTTCTTTCAATTTTCGCTCTGAGAAGTTCTGATTCCATTCGCAACACTCACATCAAGCTCTTGAAATGTATTTCACTTCCTGCCGTGTTGAATTAAGCGAGTTTTTCAGCATGTATCATAAGCTTCTTTCTTGAAAGCTCAAAGTCTCGTCTGTAAAGGTCACCTGCAGCGGCTGGTGCTTGGAACACTGCGGTTCATTTGTGTTGGAGTGCGTGCATGAATGTGATTTCACAAAGTCCGTGTCCGTTTCCGTTCTGTTTTCTCCACTGCTGAGCTCTACCACCTGAGAGTCCCGCAGAAGAGTTTGCTCGGTTGAAGTTGAACACGTCCTGCTCTGCATAGAGTCACTGCAGCAGCCCATTTCCTGTCCCGCCTCCAGGGGATACAGGTACATCTGTGACGTGCTGATCACCTCTGGCAACTCGGGCAGCACCAGCGACGGCAAATCACGAGACATGACCGATGAGCTGTGGATGCCATTACCACAGTGGAACTCTGTAGAGCTCCTCCCGTGTCTCCTCCCACCGATACGGCAGAAGAGGCACTTGATCTTTTCTAGAATCTTCTGCACGACTGTCTTTCTCAGCAGGATGTAGATCCAGGGGTCCAGAATGGGGTTGACAGAGGCAATTCGGATGGCCATAAGGTCTGGGTTCAGCTCTGTTCTCGTCTCTACTGGAGAATGATACAGCTGGTTCACAAACACCCGCATCTAGACAGGAAACAAGACATTATCTGTTTACTTTTTCATCTATAGTTATCTATAGATTTCTTACTATTTGATTTTTTAAACAGCTGTACAGCAAATGATGATACATGCACTCATATCAGATATCGGTTATCTCCTCAGGCTTTCCACTATGAGTCAACACATAATAATCAGTGTACAGATCATACATACAGATACAATCCCATACAGTTTACATTTTGCGTACAACATCTCTCATCAATAGATAACAATCAATAGATGTCTCATGCACTAAGTTTGTGCCTGTGACAACCTTTTAGGCTTTTTATCAATTTCAACTTTTCAGTCTAAGTGTTGATTGAAATTTTACAGTATGTAAAACTGTATGAGTGTTTTGTTAGTGTTTTAGTATGGACAGAGACCCAAAACTCACTAAAAGACTTTCAGGGCAAAAGAGAACACATCATAATATTTTTTATTGTGAAAAGATATAAAAACATAAGCATTATGGGATGTATTTGTTTGACTGTGTATTTTTTCAATACTATCTACAGTATATGTCATTAATTTATATAATATCAGCATATCAACCTAGTTGTTACCTACACAAAACACCACCAGTGTAACACTAATGTAATAAACTGATCACAGAATAAAGGTGGTTTGTCTAAATAAAATGTAAGAAGTGATGGTTGGTTTGCACAGGCAAAATATCCCATATTTTTAATTGATAAAACAACATAATATTTGATTGTACAACTGTATCCTATATATTGCCCAGTAAATTATTATGTAATTCATACTTTTTATATACAATTTTACAGTAGATACAATTGCAACGTACAGTATTGTGAAATAGGTATGATACTATTTCACATAATTTTGTGACAAAAAATACTTTTCTGTACCGTATCTAAGCTACGTTTTATGTTAATTCGTGGACTTTTATTAGCTAATTAGCTAAGACCAGCAAATCACCCGGCAAACCAACTTTTTTTAAGGTTTAAGTTTTGATCTGTTGTTTTCAGCCGAGTTTCCCCACATTAATACATTTTGTGCAACATCCTCTAAATCAAAATACTCTGTCATTTCCCAAAGACCACCACATCCCACTTACCACTAAAGGGATGGAGCAGATGAGCACGACAATGGACGTGGCTATGAGAACAATGACCATCTGGATCTCCGCGCCAGCCAGACGCACGAAACTCCGCCTGCGCCTGATCTCCGCGACTCGCGCCTGGTCCGTCCCCAGAGAGGTCCTGCGGACGAAGCGCTTGTGCATCATAATGAGAGCCGCACACACCAGCACGTTACAGAGGACTGTGACGAGGATGAGGACGGAGCTGAAGCCGGCGTACATGTAGGAGAAAGTGGCGTTCGTGCTGTCGTTGCTATGCCAGTCAATGAAACACCAGGTTCCTGGATGCTGTTGCACCACGGATCCCAGTCCCATGCTGGGAAGAGCGCAGAAGAGCGCATTGGACACATAGATCACCACGAGCGTCAAGCCTGCCACCCGCTGGTCCACGTAGTGATTGTAGAAATACGCGTGATTGATGGCGAGGTACCTCTCGACGGACATGGCACAGATAATACTGAGACCTGCCAAGGAGAAGAAGAGTAGAATGAAGCCGGAATACTGACACAGCGGGATCCCACCGGGCCACTTTCCCTTCACATAGGTGGCAATGGTGACTGGACTCGCAAGCATTGTTCCCAAGAGGTCAGTTACGGCAAGTCCACACACCAGAGTGTAAAAAGTGGTCTCTTTTTGCTCTTTCCGTGACTTTCGAAGCACTACGATAGCAATCACGTTCCCGACCACTCCAAATATGAACATAATGACCGGGATGGTACTAGGGTCCCAACCTTCCTTGCCATGACTGTTGCTCGTTTCGTTCATCTTCACCGAGTTGTTGTTTTTGTTTTTTTTTGTTTTCACATGCAGGTTGATGTTCAAATCAAATCATGCGCTTAAGACGCATAGCGTGAAACGATGACTTCCTCAATCGCTGTCAAAGATCCCACGGTCATACTTTCCACATCTACGTTTCACGCGCTGTTAACGCGTCTCCAAAATCTCAAAAGCGCGTCTCGGATTAGGATACATTTTGACTCGCCGGAGTCGGGTACACATGCAGTCTTTCACAAGTTCAAAAGTTCAGTCCTGTCTTTTTGCTCGAGAGAGGTGTGTAATCCACGGTTGCCCTCAGTCTCACTAAACTGACTCGCGTCACAAGTTTTTCCTTGAGCGCTTTCTGCCAACTCCGCCCCTAGCGCGCAGTCTTGCACGCTCCTGTCACTGCAAGTTGACACATACATGTCTATGCATAAAATATCTACTAGGCTAATATTTATCTACCTGATTCGCACTCATTGCTCTCTCTTCGTTTCGCCTGAGTCATTCAAGGCTAAGATCGTTTTTGTGTCCCTCATGAATGTGTGTAAACGATGGATTTAACAATGAAACGCTGAACCAACTTTTGGCATCTTTGCCATATCATATCAACATATCATTTTAACATATCAACAAAAATCCAGTCATTTTTTATGTCCTACTTTTTATTGAACAAAATGGCAATAAAAGCTAGAACTTTTCCCCC